GTGCAATAAAATTTCCATTTTTCTCGCAATAAAAAACTTCAGCTTATTTGTCGTTGCTTAGTTACGGCAAACTGCATGACATGCCCTATTACTATGTGAAGTCACCGCTCCTGCACTTGATTCTTTCCTGACAAGTTGCCCTTTATTGAGTAGTTTTTGGGTTGTACTTGCTTTGTGACCAACATTATCCCTTCTTCGGCGCACTTTGGAGTTTCAAAAGACCAAAACTTTGAAGAAAATCACTTTCTCCGTATTCATGAATAATTTGTTAACTAACACACAGAGATCGTTGACGATTAGTTTACGTGTTTCTTCTTTCTGCATCAGGGGTCCAAGCTAACTCATGAATTCTTAACCGTTTCCAAGCACATAGTGCGTGTGAGCTGTGCTGGCTAGTAAAATGTTCTGGGTCAGCCAGCTCAGCTCAACTTCCACTCGCCGACAGATCTCATTCACTTTCACTGTCGGCCTAATAATGATCGTCTCCGAAATGCTAATCACTCAGTTACAAAGCGTCAGCTCTGCACTGTCCACAGTTTGCGCATTCTTCGGTTTCTCTCCGCTTCTGCCTCTTCTCCGCCCAACCGCATTCTCTCGTGTCTCGTATTTGTCGTGTGATCTCACGATGCAAAACCAGCTCAAACCGTGCGCTTTTGCCCGCGCTCCATCCGCTCCCAGTTATTCCATCAACCTACTCTAACTAGTTACATCGCTCGCCACCTGTAATCCTATGTATATCGCCTAATTCGTTGACATTCACATTGTAATCGTTTCTACGCGTCTCTACTGACCTCTCTGCAGAGTTTCGACTCCTATGCCCATCAATCAAGTGCGAACTCAAGGGCAGTAAGCTCGACATAGGTATTCTCCAAAAGAGAGTATGGGCGAAGTTTTTCTGAATCCGATGTTTGACTCGTCGGACTCAGATTCCGAACTGTCTTACTCAAGTCGATATCGATCATTTTCGCACCATTCACTTCCGCATCCACGTAGCCGCTACTTGCCTCGTGCTTCCTCTGCAGGTGAGCATTCGGAGCGAATGAAGTGCTATCGAACTTTTGTAGAGCCTCATATGCTTTACTTGGTTAGACTACAGCATGCTATAATTCCCGGATTGCTATCGTAAATGGCAATCACATCTTCCACTCCACTGGTTGCATATCAGCCTTTCTGCTACATCTTAATGTTGCAAAAGTAGGAACTAAGGACTTTTAGAATACATCGAATCAAAATTGCGAGATTTGACTAAAATTAGTACTTCACAAACTCATATACGGAACGCAACAATTTAAGTACTAATTTCCGTTACCCTCACTTTCTTGGATAATTCAATTTAAATCATGAACTTTCCCCGATTTTTTGGTTTTCATTAACCTAACTTCTCAGTTACTCCAGTTCCTAGCATTTTGCATTACTACGAAATCAAACTAAGGAGGGGAGGGGAAGAGGGGAGTACACTAGATTTGAAACAAAAAATTGGAAAAAAAGAGATTACCTTACAATCAAGCAGAGATTGATGGTGATTTCCAAAAAAAAAAACGTCTGGCTGATCGCACACTGAGAAAACTTGTTGTTTCAGTTTCTTCTACTTATTCAACTGTGGGCCTGCTGCAATTGATAAGCCCGGATTTACGACAGTCTCTATCTGGTCTCTTATTACCATCGGAAGCAGTCGTACTCGAGTCCATTGTGGGCAAAGGTAAGTGTTCAGCTGACTGACAGTTTTTACCAATCCAAAACTCCAAAACCCAGTTCCTCGTTTTTCCATGCGGACAGCTTGGCTCGAGTGGGACGCTGAAGTGGCTTCCTCTCACCGTTTCAGCACATATGTACCTTTGAATGCATCAGTTAAACATTAGTTGTCTACCATTATACTTGGGAACAAAACTTATGGGAAGAGGCTTGGCGTATATCTGTGGTAGCAGCTCGTTTGACACATTAAGCCCTCCTTTTTTTGAGGTGAGCTCGGGGAACAACTAAAATTTCTATTCGCACATTGTCGCAAGGTGATTTCCTCCCTCAGTGCTTTAGACATGAAGCATTCTTAGCAGGAACGCACAAAGGGACGCCCTTGCCAGAAGTTTTGAAACCGCGCACTTTCGACTGTTCATGTTGGCTTAGGGTATCAGCCATTCAATTGTACCGATTCTTCTCGCACGAAAACGTAAATAGAGGAGCAGCTCAGGCAGAGGCACGTGAAACAGCCTTTTGATGTGATCTTTCCCCAAAAAACTTTTGATGAATATGAATTTTGAGCAGTTTTGTTTGCAAACATAGAGGGCTTGAAACAGTTTGCTTCGTCAAGTGCAAATGTTC